GATAAATTAATTTAAAAATTGTTAATTCAGTTTCTTCTTCTGTCACATGAGCACTAGTTATGGAAGATGATCTGAGGCAGTAAAAAAGGAAAGGTGTGAAGATTCCTGAAGCATCAATACTTCTGATACCAAGCCTTATTTTGAGCATCGACAGTAGGATCAACTACGTTTCCTTCTCATGTTCAGTGAAACTGTGGAAACAGTTTCACCCAGCTGTTGTTTGCAGCGATCACAGCGTTACTTCAGACTGTGACACTGTGCACCCCCCGAACAAAGCAAAGACAAAATGCTCCACCACCAGCAGCACAATGAGCAGCGTCCCCGTGGACGTACAGACCACTGTCACAGGGTCACTGTGATACTCAAGGAAACTCAGAAACAGGAGGATTCTTAGGCAGGTTCTGCAGCCTCTGCCCCTCTGCTTTGTTTAGATTTTTTACTTTCATTACTTCAAGTTGGTGGTCAGACTTGATGCACCGATGTCGTGCACGCACTGTGCCTGGTACGTGGTGTGACATGCCGTAACCATTTGGCTATCAAAGAGTTTTTATCGTCAATTCACTATATGCAGGACATACAGAAAATTCAAAATACTGTTTCTTTCTCATGTTGAACGTCCATACCATTTACGAACTAAAATAGAACAAAAGTAGAATAAACACAGAATAAATAGAATGTGAAAACTGAATTCAAGTAATAAGAATAAACTAGATGGTACAACCCAATAGGCTATGATGATGATGATGATGGGTGCCCCTTCTCTTCTGATTTCTAGGTGGATTTTTGGAGGTTTATTCTGGAGGGGCATGACAGACAGTGATATACTCAGCAAGTGGAAGTCATACCGAATCTGATCAATGTGTTTCATGCCTGTGTTACAGCTCACTGGATTAGAAGTCTGAGGAGGAGGACAGTCAGTCAGGTGCTTTAAAGTGTTTTAATGCTGCAGCTTCAACTGCTGAAAAAGTGACAAGAAATGCCTGATGTTTAACAGATTTACAGATAAAATATATTCAGAAGCATCCTCTGAATGTGCTCAGCTCATAAACGGACTCATCTCATACATAATATTAAATTGGCTGCTTTTAATAAAGAAATGACCTGTTTCAGTAACAATATCAGTGATTCTAGTTCCTGGTATTTCTTTGTATTGGACAAAAAACTAATTCTTTGGGATCCCCACCCACTAGTGAAAAGGATTCATTTAAATATTAGATTTTCAACAGCACAGTGGCGCGGTGGGTAGCGCTGTTGCCTCACAGCGAGAAGGTTCCGGGTTCATGACCTTTCTGTGCAGAGTCTGCATGTTCTCTCCGTGTACCCTGGCTTCCTCCCACTGTCCAAAGACATGCGTCTTAGGTTGACTGGAGACTCTAAATTGCCTGTAGGAGTGAATGTGTGTGGTTGTTTGTCTGCATGTTGGCCCTGGAATGGACCGGCAACCTGTCTTGCCTGATGCCGGCTGGGATTGGCTCCAGCCCCCCCTGCAACCCAGTTTGGGACTAAGCGGTATAGAAAATGAGATGAGATTTTAAACTGCATCCCTCGGGATCAGAATGAGTAGGCCAAGGAGTGAGTAACCTCGATCAGAAAAAGGCAATAAAACTTCAAATGTGGCGAAGTCTCAAACCAACAAACACACAAAAATCAACTAAAAAAAAAAAATCAACCAGAAACCTGGTGGTCTGGGGTGTCAGGTGCTGCCAATGAACCACTGTGTCTCTAGTTTCCAACTGATGGGGAGCGACACTGTTTCATCTCCCCCTTCTGTCAGCACTTTAAGAAGACAGACACGCTCTACAGGCCAATGCAAAATCATGTAAACCAGAGCGCCCTCCCCAGTCCACCCAGATCAGACCACAGTAACCACTGGGGTGTGTCCCAGTTGTCTCAGTTTCCATTTTCCTTGAGATAAAAGAAACCACAAACAACATGGCTTTGGAGTCACTTGTGTTCAGACAGACATCAACATGTCAACATAAACCTCCTTAAATCGCCATAGTAACCAATACTAATCACATCCCTCCTTGATCTCCAGCAGGTTTCATCCTCTGTGTTAACATTCACACTCTCGGCTCTACCCTTCACTGCAAATTTGACATCCTTCAGACCGATTTACTCATCAGATTATCGAGGACGCACTCCACCGTGACAGGGGACGAGATTTTCATCAGATTACTCAGAGGATAAACACGTGTTCACACCTGTTCCACTGAACAAACTGTTCGCAGCTGTTTCACAGAAGGAACTGACTGACTCCAAACTGCCCCCATCACATTTACTTACTGTTGATAATTATTAAGTAGCAGTGAGAAGAGGCAACCAGCTATGGAACAAACTCCCTGTGGAGCTAAGTCAAGTCCCCAGTCTGGCCACATCTAAGGCTAAGCTCAAAACATTGCTGCTCTCTCGTGCTTTTGAGAACATTTATTTATGCCATTTTATTGTTTTTACTTGTCTTTTATATTTCATATTATGATTTTCCCTGATGTGATGCGTGGTTTTCTGATTCTGTTTTAATGTGTGAAGCACCTTCAATTTCCTTGTGTATGAAAGGTGCTCTACAAATAAAGTACTAAGTACTGTGAGCTGTGACCTTTGACCCCTCCCTGTATGTTGATGCTGAGCTATGTGATGGACCACAGCTCCCCCCACTGGACAAAGGGACTCATTACACCTGATGTAATTTTCAGATTAAAAAGTGTTAGAGCAGTGACGTGCAAGCCAAACCCCGGGATCAGATCACGTGTGTAGTCCAGCCTCAACCTCAACTCTTTGGGACAACGTCACTGTTTGTCTGATGTTTTTCTTCCAAGGAGTCCACAGAGTGTGCAAACAGCGTTAAACATCAGGTACTACAGTACCTTCACCTGCTTGGTGTAGCCGTGTGTCACACAGACATTGTTTTTGTTAGTTTATTGTCTTAGCAACACAATGGTGCATCACGTTTCAATGCAGAGCAGAAGCACAATACCAGCATGTTTCAGTACAGCATCCAGTGAAACCAGTAAACCTGCACATCCTCCCTCCCCTAACATGTTTGTGTGATGTAGTATCAGTACTTGAACTCTGTACTTGTGTAGTACTAGTTGTAATAGCAGTAGTAGCAGTACTTTACCTGTGTACATGTCCACCAGAGAGTCCCTGAGCTCCTTGCTGGGCACCCATGTTGACAAACTGGTCTCCTCTGGACTTTCTAAACTGGTTTCTCTGGAAAAACAAAACACACATGAGAAGCACAGACAGGACAAAGGCTGATCCTCAGCAGGTTGTAGCTGCGAGTGAACTGCCGAACCGCACACTGATTCCAGATCAAAGCTTTAGTCGCACACAGACGAGTCTTTGGCGACAATGCCGTGGTGTGTTCAACCACAGATTCAGTTTGCTGTGGCAGGAAACAGGAGCAGGTTTTCACTGATCAGCTGATTATCTACGTATAGGCCTGCAACTATTATTTTCAGTATTGATTAATGTGACAGTTGTGTTCTCCACTGATCAGTTGTCTTTATAACGACAGTAAACACTGAATGCTTTCCACAGTCACAATCTTCTACAGTCCAAAAACCCGAAATTAAAGCTTCACATCTGAGACTTCAGAAGTAGGAACTTGCTCTTCGCTGGCTTCTTGGATAAAAAAAAATAATTAAATGAATCAATTTTCTGTTGATCACCTAATTGATTAATTGCTGCAGCTCTACAAGACTCACTCTGTCATGGATCAGTTTCCTTCCAGTCAGAGCAGTAACTACAGAGACTCACCTACTGGAGACCAGCAGAGTTCACTAGAATCAGTAAATCTGAGCTGATCTCTAATACATCTGATCACATGACCTGCAGGTCACATGGTTCCTGTAGCTTACTGGATATTTCATTTGTACCTAGCATTCCCTGAGTTTAGCAGTAAACCAGTGTGAAATCCAGTCAGTAAACCAATAAACACTCAGTCCCTCGGTGACCCTGCTATCAGTCTGCATCCACAAACTGTTCTGATTTCTGCTGAAGTTCCATCCATCCATCATCTATACCACATATCCTAACGAGGGTCGCGGGGCGGGGTTGGAGCCAATCCCAGGTCGCCAGTGTATCACAGGGTTACTGAAGTATCACTTAGACTCCATTTCCCAGCATGCTCGGCTTGACCCTACAGACCTGCTCATGAACTTGTTTCATCTTCAGCTGAAACCTGAAGTCCATCACAGTTCACTTCAAGTCTGATCCTAGACCCAGGAGCCAGACTGTCTACATCAATCTACCAGAGGAGGTCTACTCAGCTGGTCTGGGTTAGTCAGCCTTAATAAACAGCTCATCAGATCTCAGACCAGCACTGAAAGAGCTGAGTCCAGGGAACCTGGAGCAGTTTTTGAGTCTTGCAAACATTTCACTTCAGATTTAAAAATATCTTCAATCTAAAACAAGTCCAGCATCTCCTGAATGAGCTCTAGATAAACCAAGACCTGATGACTGACACGGGTCACCTAGTTTCCCTTGGTGGTGTTTGCAGGCCCGACATCACTTGTGTCTGCCCAGCGTCTTACTTCAGATGAAAGGGGACACATTGCTCTCTCTCACCTGTCAGTCAGCTGCTGCTGCAGCACACAGATCTTCCTCTTTGCTCTCTGAAGAGCAGCCTGAACATCCACAGCTCTGCTGACGCCACTGGACGCCATCAATGCACCTCCACCTGACAACACGCCTTACCATCTCCATGACAACCAACACAATGTGCATTGCCTCATAGCACTTCCAGGTCAGGTAGGTGGAGGAGGCCTGTGACTGGCTGACAACCAGTGACTCTGAACCATCAGTAGGTTAAATATTGATGAGCTCACAGCATCAGGTGACTCAGGTGTTGTTTACAGGAATAAAACAATGTTGTTTTTGTTCCCTGTAACATCACCAAATGTAGAAAATCGTTTAAACTATAAATTTATTCTTCTCTCCACAGGTGACCCAATGTCAAGCTTTAGTTAATAAACCCAAAGAAATCAGCGACTGCAGACTTATTGATCACATCTGTTTATTTGTTACTGAACATCCTGAATAAATTGGATATAAATATCATCTTGTTTTGTCAGTCTCAGCTTCCTGCAGCAGTTTGTTCCGCAGGACGATGTCTACTCGATGTTTCATCACAAACTGTCCGTTCAGGTGGAACACAGGAATGTCCCACCTGTACCTGTCGAGCCACATCCTGTTCTCTGGAAGACTGATGTCCACCTGCTGCAGGACAAACTGCAGGACATAGAGAGCGACAGTGAGCGTCTCTCCTGACATAAACACTGAACTTTGCTGAAAGACAGTGGTACCCGACGACACCGTCTTGCTGTTGTCATGACAACTGAACCATGAACACTAATTGGACAGGGTTTCACAGCAGTGGATCATTAGTTAATGGTCATATAAAGGTTTAAAAACATGGTCAACTTCAGGGTTAATATTTTTACCAAATCCTCCTGCTAAACCACGACAAAAAAAGTACGCCAGCTCCTCTAAAATAAAACTGCATTAAAAGACAAAGTGGGACTCTGTGCTGAGAGCGAGACACGAGTGGGGCGTGGAACACACATCCAAAATGTGCTCATGGTGCATTATGGTTAACTGTTAACTATACACCAGCACTACCCGTCACTGAGTGTCATGTCTCGTCTCTATCCATTTCCTACCATTACACATCACTAACTTTGTGTCTCCTCTCTCCCGTAGTGTGTCCTCTCTCTCTCCCTGTACCTTTCTGCAGGTTGCCCTGGCCCTGGAGCTCTACGTCTCTGATGAGCAGTCACCGGTCACATCGACCTGATCAGTGTTTGATTGTTGTGTCTTGTTGCTTTTCTTCTTTTCTTTCTCCTCTATCCACTCAGCCCAACCGGTCGAGAGCCAAGGTGTCTGTCAGAGGTTTCTTCCATTAACGGGGGCTTTTCCTCCCTGCTGTTGCCAAGTGCTGCTCAGGGGGATTTGTTGGGTTTTCCCTATGTAATAATATTGATAACAGTAAGGTCTAGACTTGACTTTGTAAAGTGTCCTGAGATGACTTTTGTTGCGATTTGGTGCTATACAAATAAATCTGAACTGAACTAACACACATTAGGCGACAGTGGTGTGGTAGAGCAGTTGTCTCCCAACCAGAAGGTTGAAGGTTCGAATCTCGGTGCCTCCAGTCCACATGTCAAAGTGTCCTTGGGCAAGACACTGAACCCCTTGCCCCCGATGGTCAGAGCCATTGGTTGAGGTGGTGCCGCAGATGGCTGCCATCGGTTCTGTACCGGAAAAAAATTGTGTAACATACTTGGCCAATAAAGGTGATTATCCAATTAATATATTACTTGGACATACACACGCACACGTGCCACCTGTACCTACATTAGAAATGAAGTTAGTAAACATCAGACTTATGGACTATGACAAGACCTGACACCACAGTATAAAAATATTCTGTTGCAAGTAAATGACCCGTGATCAAATTTTTACTTAAATAAAAGAACAATGGTATTAGCATCATTATGTACATAACATATGAGTACAAGTATAAAAATATGTTGATTACTGTATAATTATTGATCAGAAACAATCAGCTTTATTGGCCAGGTGTGTCGGAGGAATTTGACTCTGGTACAGTGGCTCTCAATGTGCATGTACATATCCCCATGCAAGGGGCAAATAAACAGTAAACCAACATAAGGCTGTGTAGTATAACAAAATAAAGTATTAACAAGCAACAACCAGGGCAAGCAATGCAAAATAAGCAGTATAGACAAACAGTAAACAATGCAGACAGACAAAGGAACGCTCACTGAAATGAGATACATAGGAATAAAAACAGAGTACTTAAGAACTAGTACAAGTCTGTATAACCTGTACAATGTATATATACACACACACACACAGGTATTGCACTGAGGGTTATTGTCCAGTCATACTGTCGTTGGTTAAGTGTTCATCAGAGCGACAGCCTTGGGGAAGAAACTGTCCCTGTGCCTGGTTGTCTTGGTGCACAGTGACCTATAACGCCATCCAGAGGGGAGGAGTTAAAACAGACTCTGTCCAGGGTGTGAGGGGTCAGCAGTGATCCTCTCCGCCCTCCTTCTGACCCGTGAGGTGTACAGGTCCTCCGTGGAGGGCAGGCTCACACCAATGACCTTATCTACAGTCCTGACTGTCCACTGACGTCTGTACTTGTCCTGTTTGGTTGCTGAGCCAAACCAGACAGTGATGGAGGTGCAGCGAACAGACTCGATGATTCCTCTGTAGAACTGTATCAGCAGCTCCTGGGGCAGGTCGAACTTCCTGAGCTGGAGCAGGAAGTACATCCTCTGCTGGGCTTTCTTGATGATGGTCCTGATGTTGGCCGTCCACTTCAGGTCCTGGGAGATAGTGGAGCCCAGGAACTTGTAGGACTTTACTGCTGATACAGTGCTGCCAAGTATGGTGAGTGGGGGTAAGGTGGGGGGGCTCTTCCTGAAGTCCACTGTCATCTCCACAGTTTTGAGCGTGTTCAGCTCCAGATTGTTGCGGCTACACCACGGGACCAGCTGCTTAACCTCCCATCTGTAGGCTGACTCATCATCATCTCGGATGAGACCAATGACCGTTGTATCATCAGCAAACTTTAGGAGCTTGACAGAGGGGTCCTTTGAGATGAAGTCATTGGTGTAGAGTGAAAACAGCAGAGGGGAGAGCACACATCCCTGGGGGACACCTGTGCTTATTGTCCGGGTGCTGGATGTGGTTTTCCCCAGCCTCACCTGCTTCTCCCTATCTGTCAGAAAGCTTGTAATCCACTGACAGGTGGGGGCAGGCACAGTGAGCTGGGTCAGTTTGGA